CAATCTCTTCATCATGTACTTTCATTTGAAATGAAGGTCCCCGTAACAATGTTATCTCAGGAGATTCATCGAAACCAAGTTTCTCTTCGTATCTACAGTATAATGTAATAATTGTTATACTATGTACTATTTCATATTATTATAATTGTTTTGTATTTTAAAAGGAGATTACACAATGGGGTCTTCGGTGCCCTTAGCAATCATAGGATGCCTCTGATCATTAAGGCCCATCATTCAATCTCTTTTGGTCTTTTCGCTGCCCACGCCTGATCCCTCCACGAGGAGTTGAAGAACTGTTGGTTGTGTGCTTCGAGTCCGAAAGGTGAGGACTCGAAGACAAGCACATTGGCCCAACAAGCGCACCATTTGTTGCCGAAGACCTACGGCATCTACACGGCGATGTGAGTGTCGTATTTCGTGGACAGCTCACATTGCGAACCTTGGACCAGCAACACGACTCAGGGTGGCCTGAAGCCACTTTCTTTTGCCCCTCCGGACTGGAACGCGGGAGACGCAGGTCCTGGAATTCTGTCCACATGAAGCAGGATGGTCGGTGGAACCCAGGCATTTGAATGTTGACAAACGAAAAAGAACATATCTAAAGAGAGAGGCATGTTCGGTGGTCTACTTTTCACTTCGGCTATCAGTAAAGAGGCAAGAGGACAATGATTCGACCATTGCCTCTCCCGAATACTCGAGTATAACAAAGACTGAGGCCTCAGGAAGTGAGCAAGATTGCAGTCGGTGCCTTTTCTTGGGTAGTCTGTTGAGTTTGTTTTTGGTATTGTCGGTCTCGCAGATGAACGACACGTTGCTCGAATGACACCACATTTCTCGAGATGGGAGGACAGTGCGCAGAGGATGGGTACACTCAAGTCGAGGGCTCTTAGCAGGTCAAAATGCGAATCCCTTACACCCAACTTCTTAGCATAAAATAGCTTACAGATTACTTTTCGAAAGTACCAGTTTGGGTCGCCTAAGAACTGACATTAAATTCTGATATCTCATTTTTCCCTCCAAATCCGTGTCAGTCTCAAGAAACCATTGAGGTACGCATTGTCTTGCATTCTAAAGGGCTTTCTTGCTCAGGGTGGGTCTCGCACATTTCAGTGTGAAAGTGTCAACTACCAGTGCCTACATCGCCTTAAACGACTTGAGCTGGCTCGAGTTGGTGCTCAGGATGTATTGATGATTTCGAAACACAATCACAATGAACAGAGTGGCTTGATAGCCTTATAGAAGTGTGTGAAAGTATATGCTAGGAAAAAATTGGGTTTCGATGACTGTCTTGGTTCATAATTGTTGAGCCCACTTCTATTTTGAGTAACGGAAAAGTTGATGAACAGCTTCAAAATTCGCTCCCTCCAGAAAAGGATGACGGAGTCTTTTTGACCATTCTTACTCACGCTGTCCCTGAGGCACTGGAAACGTGTTAAACTTTCTCTCGTTACATGATGGGCATCATCGGGGTCGGGTGTCATGCCTACAACCATATTCAAACTTCACTCATCATATCCTACATTTTTGCTTTTGATAAGATATAAAGTGATTCAGTTACAGTCGTATGTCCATATAAGAGGATGTGCGTGTGTTAATTGGCACCCGACAGATGATAAGGTGAAATCCATCGTCCATCATCACACACACTTGAGCCTTGGCTCAACCAAGAGATTATTCGAAGCCATTTAAAGTCGGCGAAACTTCCAATTTGTTTAAAAATGCGGCCGAAGAGGATTCGTAAATTGGTTTCATTGCACACCTTCACTCGAAATATAAGTAAGCTCAACACTCATAGGCCAAGGGACTCCAACTCAACTTTTCTTCGCATAAAATATACCATTTCTCTACCCCCCATTGTGGCGTTGGCCTTTACTCTTCGTCCGCCCTGGTGCACAAGTCTTTGTTCAGCTGTAGACTGTGGAGGCCGCGTTTGTGCATGTACGGCACAGGTGTTTTGACTCGCTCTTCTCTTTTCATTATTAATAGCTCTCAAACGTAGCGATTTCTGACTGTGTTTACGACCGATGTGCAAGCTAGCCCACTTTTAGCGTTGCTCCAGATCCAGCCTGGTGGTAGCCGCATCAGTTACAGTCGCCTGTACATTGTGTCTCCAGGCCGCGAAGAGACAATGGCTCAGTAAAAGGGTCTGGCCTTGGTAGCATCGGTTGACTGTTAAGTGAGTCCACTTGACAACAGTCTGGAGCAAAGTGAGCCCTGGAACTTTTAAGAGGCACTCGAATTCGTCGGTTGGTTGCATTGCAGACATCTTGAAGCGCACGCACATTCGGAAAAGAGTCTTCAATAGCTGGTGGCTGGTTAACGATCAGTAAAGCAAGACCTGGAAGCATGGCAGTACGAGCATATTAGCGTTACCTACACTTCCTGCATTGACGCCCTGAGAATGCAATAATAAAGCATTTTTGAAGGACGCCGACAAGCCGTGACACGCTATCTTCCGTCCTACACGTTGTACTTTATCAAGCAGCTTAACGCGATGTAATAAGTCACCTTCACGATTCTATTGAATTTCAGTTTTACTTGCCGCCAAAACGACCTTAGACTCTAGGCTGAAATGCTCTAAACGGCTCATGCATTGTCACCACTTCACCGAATAGCCTCGAGTGCCACTTTCTCACTTTCGAGGCAACGTTCCACCAACGACATCCTCAAATACACAGCAAATAGGCTTCGGAAGTATCAACAAGGACACTAACGATAACTTAAACATATGCTATTGAAAGTTTATAAAGTGGTATTCGAGACTACCAGAAAAATGAACAAGTGGGTTATGTTCACAGTATTTCGTTAAAGGTGATGAAGGACTGGCAATTGAATTTTCCCACCTAACATTTCCACTGAATCCCACACAGCCAAGCTTTCCCAAAAGATATTCTCATCAAGAATGGACTGCAGTTTCAACCTTGCCTCAGTCTCCTCAGCACCTTCAACCGGCCTCTAACCCGCGTTGCGGTGATGCAGCGTATAAACTCCACACTTTAACCAATTTACCAGACTTCCACGAATGTCCTCGGGGCACAGAGCAGATGCGAATTTCAAGATGGGTCAGCACTCCACCAATACTATTTAGCAACGCTGTATATGCTGACAATACCGCGGTTCGAGTCCCGTTGGAAGTGCTGATGAGACCTAAGCAAAGTTGAAAGTGAATGAAAACGCCTTTTAGGCAGAAAGGCCGTGTGAAATTTAATGAAAACGTCAGGTCTATTCAAATAATTGTGGGAAAATTCAACTTCCATTCCTTCATCACCTTAAACAGATATAAGCACATACAAATGAAGTCGAAAAGAATGTCTTCTTTTCCATGTACATTTCACGAGAAACCGAGTATTCCGAAGTCTATTCACTCATAATATAGTAGTATCGTCGAGTTTTTTATAGCAATTTTCTTCCACTAAAAAATGTAGGAGCATAATATCTGCTTTTTGACTCCCTGAAATCCTGAAATGTGTGGCGGAGAATCGAGTTCGAATCCTGGTGTGGATGTTGACAAGTTGAGATTGCAGTTCTGAAGCACAATAAGGTGACCCAGGCTGTTAGATTTGGAAATTCTAACAAGTGACAAGTATTTTCCGTTCATAAGTAAGTTGTATAGACTACCGGTAGACCATATATATATGA